GGGCAGACGTCGGTCGCCGATAACGAAAAACAGTGGGCCTTTGCCGGTGTTTCAGGGGACATAAGTGAGATACCATGCACACCCGTTCGTTTTCTTTCGGTTTGGGAACAAAGGTTTCCTTTTGTAGATATTGAAAAAATGGCGAAGTGTTTAATGTGTTCGAAAGACCTGCAGTATGTTAAAAAGTTCAACCTAAAGATGTATTACGTAGCTTTGCGATCCAGAGAAATTACGAAATAGAAATACAGTTGCTGAGCCCGCATTTATCTATTTGTTAATATTAATTATTGTTTCAGAACGAACTAATTGTATATACCATTGAATAAAATATTGCCCTAAAACGTAAAAAATGTGTTTCCCAAAAATGTTATCTAGTAGAAGGCAGGAAGTGGAATTTCAGTGCTGGTTACGATGAGTCGAATATTGCTTTGAGTTATGTAATAATGAATGTTCAATTATATAATTTCACATATTGTTATTGAATCATAAAAATTATAAATAACAATTACCATTTAAAAAACGTAATTAATTATTTTCCAAACGAACCTTTTCCCCTGTTTTGGAACACTGTGCGCTCGCTGCCTTTGTTCGGTTCGGAGCAGGAGTGCAAGTTTTCGTGACGTCACAGAGCATTGAATTGGCAAGCATTGGTCTAGATGAGGTAAAGATTGAGGATCTGCTTCCCTCCTATAAACAATTCTAAAAAATTGTGAATGTTTGATTCTGGCTTCGGGGTCTTGGATAGTATACGGTGTCACTACGTATTGTCGACATCCACAATTAACTGTGTTGACGTCGCTGACGTGGCCCTCGTAGAATGAAATCACGTCTTAGTGAATAAATTAAACAACAATCCAGGCCGAGATATGCAGTGATTCATCTCTGCGACGTCTATTTTATAGATTTCCGTTTTGACCGTTTATTTAAATTAACAATTTCCAAAATGTCAGAAATTGAAAGATTCCCCAGAACTCAGAAAAAATCCCAACAACAATATTAAAATATTTGATTGTGTTATTCGGCTTATTCTCAGACCGCTCACTCAGTGCGTTCCTGTTTACGAAACAGAAGACCTCGTGCGACAGCGATATTCTAAGGAAAGAGGCCATTTCATATTTACTATATACATGACACGTTATGAAACAGCAGCTTGGTATGCAAAGAACTGTTGTACTGTGTATCCGCGTGTGTATTATACTATTGTGTTGAAGTGTTCGTGAACCCAATTTGTGTTAAAATATTTAATTTATTGCAATGTTATACCAGAGTATTTTATTCGTTGCTTTTAGCAAAATGCGTGCTCCTATTTGAAAAATAATTGTGTGGTTTTGTTCAGTAGCAATATTGCTGCAGCAAGCCATTCTAAAACAAAATCTTTGTGACAATTTTTGTTTATTTGTCGTCAAATGTTCGAAGGCCCCGCATCAGATTTATTATTATTATTATTATTATTATTATTATTATTATTATTATTATTATTATTATTATTATGTGTTGCAGACTTGGAGGAATGTGGAAGAGTCTGGAGAAGGATTCTAAGGAACAATATTTTGCTCTGGCTCGCCAAGTGGATGCAGAACACAAAAGAAAATATCCAGGTGAGTAAATAAAAATCATTCCATTTTACAAGATTTTTATTTAGTGTTTTTCTGAAAACAGGTGGCAACACATCTTGAGGTTGCAGAAACAACCATAAATAGGAATCGTGATGGATTTCGCTGTTTTCGTCATTTCGGCTATGATTTCGATTTCGCTAAAACAACCGCTTTTGAGATTGATCTTGCCAGGTGTACCAGAACTCCCAAGAAAGGGCCTGCAAATGCAGTGACACAGCAAAGAAATGAAACCGAGAGTGTAAGCTTATTGTGAGCGGCTTTATCAGCTCTTACTCTGTTCAGATTTAAATACTGGAGAAAACAATGCACACTTCGAATTTTCGGTAGTGATGATTTTGATAGGCGATGGAGGATGTCAAATGATAATTAGATTCGAACTCGCGGTAAACGGTTAATTGCGAATGAGGGATTGTTGGGAACCAAATAGTAACGGTCTCCATTTTTATTGAAAATGAATACAAGCAGCCAAAATTATTTTGGCGATCCAAAATTTCGGATAAATAACTATACCCGAAGCTCTACAAAGTCCGTTGTCCCTCATCTCCATTTGCCAACGTGCTACTAGTCAATTTGACAATAAGTGTCTCAAGTAGTCAAGAAGGGAACATGAGGCTAACAAAGGTTTTACACGAAACACAGCAATGTAACAGAAACAATAAAGTTTATTTAACTTGTAAGAAATAATATAAATTAGAATTTGAGATGCAGAACAACAGAGTTAAGATAACTTCGAAAACTACAAATAACCATGATTAATAAACACTTGCAATTAAATTAACTAAATTCTTGCTTTATATTAAAAACCACAATATATAGCCAATATTACAGCTGCAAAACTTTAATGGTTGAACTATTATCATTTACGAATTTCACAAGTTATGGCTAAGATCATTTACATTTTTAAATTCAATGGAAAGTCAAACCGAATAAATATTTCTAAACTATTGTTGCGGTAAACGGTTAGGTGTGCAAAGGGTGCAATTTATTCCCATAATCGTTCGATACAGTGGGTAGCAACCATATTGTTAAACGAGTTGCACTGACGGCGAGTTTCTGAGCAAATCGATGTCTTGCACACACAGTGAGGTGAGGCCAGGATCGAAGTAGCATTGGAGTCCAACGTGGACGGACGGTTTGCAGTTGGGCGCCTTCATCAGATTCCATCCTTTCGCATTCACCACGTGGACTTTAGGAAGTAAAATACTCAACAGATAATTATAAAATGAAATCAAATTTAAGTTCAATATGATTGACCACCATTAAGGTGAGGTAGTACAGCGTATCTTTATTGTGTTGTGTACCTTAATCTCTAAAACAATTTTATGAAGCTCTTTGAAATTTTACACTATATTTTATAGCAATGTTCTTATCACGTAGTGTTTATCATTACGATTCAATGTCATTTACTATGTTTAATATTTTTTTTATCAACATATTTTTTAAACATTTTTGGTAAATATGAGTTTGAGTCCGAGATATCTGAATTTTGAATAATTGAATTCTTCTATAAGAAATATCAAATCACGGTACGTACATAATACTTAAGTGGTGAATATTTTATAGAGCTATGCGCAACAGTTTGAGAGAAAAAGGTATATGAAGACAAAAATAATAATTTTCGGGAAGTGCAGGATTTGTAACAATACTGAAGACAATTCTGGTGCATATTCTGTCTCTTCAACATCTTCCTCATCATTCTCTGAACTTTTCCTTTTTGTTACTACAATCTTCTTTTCTACATTTTTTCTACCTCCTCTCCTGCCTTTTGGCCCTGTGACTAAAAAGTAGTGTAGTGTAGTAGTGTCTTGTAGTGACTAGGACACTACAAGACACTTGGCGCGACTAGACATTTAAATGGCATTTTAAAGCCTTTAGGAATAAAATGTCTTGAACATGTTTATATTAAGTGAATATTAAAGATTCAAAATAACAAAAAACGGAAATCGAAAATTCTGTTCCAGCGACGTGTGTAACCTCCCCTTAATATCTGTTATTCATTTTTACTGAATTCAGGGTGGCCAGAGAACCTGGAATCCACAAAAACCGGGAAATAACAAGGAATTTGAACAAATCCTGGAAGAACCGAAAAAAATGGGAAATTGATCTGAAAATAGAGATATTTCATTATTTTCATATTTATTCTCAACATTTAGCACAAATTCACATACGGTATCGTATTCAATAAAGTGTTCGATTCAACTCAATATATAATAATGGCGAGTGAAAATCAATATATATATATATATATATATATATATATATATATATAGTGCCACATGTATGCTTCAGGATTGCATTACCGTGACTCGCCTATCACACAACTTCACAGTCCCGTGTATACAGGTGAAATATAGGTAGAGTATTCTGCGGATGTCAAAATTACATTGCAAACGTCGAACACAAGAGGAAAATGTCCTTTAGCACAAAAACATTTAAGCTATCAAGTGCTGCTGCATGGGTTTTAGGCTTACTGCTGTTTGAAGGCTATTCCACACGCGGTTCTATTTCTTCTAAAATCTTCAGGGACACCTGCATTCTCGACCTTCTACACCTTCGACATTCTGCATCAGGTTTTAGAACTAAGCATTGTCCCAAGTCATGAAAAAGTTTTTTTGGCGAAATTGCACCCTCTAGGCTCATGTTTTTTAAAACCAGTACTCAAAAGTTGAGCATCACACTTATCTCCCTTGTTAACAAATCGTCACTCGCGTAGCACGAATAGGCTTACTCGCCCGCTGTACTCAATGCAGCGCACTCATTATGCAGATTTCTTTCTTTATTATCATCGCTAAGATACTTGCATCATTTATCTACACCGAAATTTTAATGTAATACTCTATAAAAAGAAATATATCATTGTAAACAATGTTTGAAACCTTTATTAGCATACGCGCGCGTTTTCCTGAGCCCTCATTTCTCTAGATGCGAGAGCAGTGGGTTATTTCGACGACAGGTCTCAAATATAAAATATATAGCTCATTTTTCGATGCACGAGAATGAACATATCTGATTTTGTTAATGATGTTCGTTGCTGATGCTTATTCACAATTCAACTAATGTTAGTAAAGATGTGGGGGTAAGTGCTCCAGAGCTCAAGGAAGTGCGCGTACATTACACTTGCGCCCGTTAACAGCAAAAGAATAAAATAACAAAGTCAGCGAAATGCAGTGCACACGTTTGAGGCGCTCTAACCTCACCAGAGTTCCACAAGTCGTCGAAAAGTCGCCGATGGCAGGGTGTACCGGTTGGTCAAATTTTAAGGAATATTTAGACAATAGTCAAGCGGATCAGCCTTGGTGAAATGTAAATATAACGTTTAACGAGCGTTTTGTGAGCCCATGCAAAATCAATTAAGGTTTTTTCTCGTTTAGTGTTGTAACATGTTTCTAAGTTCATGCTTACAATTAAAAAGATGACAAATTGCTAAAACGGCCATTTTACGGCCTTGCTTTTTACGAAATTGCTTAAACGGTCCGGATTTAACATTTAAACATTTTGATATTTTAAAAATCAAATATAATATATTAAACGTAAAAACAGATAATTAAATGTTATCTGTCCGTTGAAACTGTGTTAAGCATAAAAAATCACGAATAAAAGACGGAAATCTCGTAATAATTTAAATCGACGAGAAAACTATTATGATTCTAAATACTCTTGCCTGCTGCTATCTATCCCCGCCCGAAGTCGGACAGGACTTCCTTCTATTTGGCAAAAATTCTGTGTGTGGTTCACACTCTAGTAGTGTTCACAGACAGACATTTTGAAGAAAACCACCTTTTCGGTATCATGGTCCCCAAAACGTGTATTTCCATGAAAATCTCGAAATCGATTTTCCGCAGAATTGCATAACTTTCCCTATACTACCTACATACGTATGTCTACGGGAAAGTAAAAATTAAAAAAATAAGATATGTGGCATGTGTCAAGCAAATATGGAGATTTATTCATTCCGAATATTCAAAAGTATTTTGGTGCTATGGATTGACACAGATATTCCCGTATTAGTTCTCTGTTTCTTTTGGTCTGGGCTAGCTACTCTGATTTGCCACTTATTTATAAAATATCTTCATTTTCGGTGTTCTAATAGTAGAACGGGAAATATTTTAAAATTATTAAAGAACAGTAAAACCTCGCCCTAAATTGCAATTTTCTTTGAAAATTTTGGAGCCGTTTCTAAGATAATGGCGTTGAACCGCTACTGTAAATGCGAAATTTGAACCCCTTTTCACAGAAAACTATTGAATTTCTGAAAACCTTCATATGAAGTCATTTCAAGTACTTCCAGTCACAAATACAATATTTTTTACAAATCGCTAGAAATGTTCATACTGACGCCGTGAAATATCTTTCAAAAAAATTATATTAGTGTAATTTTTGAAAAAAAAAAAAAATCCCGGAATTAACTTCACGTCGTGTTGAAGAGTGCAATTTGCACTCCCCTTCGACACGTTTGAAGAAAACATTTAGAGCCTTTTTTGAGAAAATGGTGTTTGTGCGTTTTTGAAAATGCGAAATGTGTTCAACTACGGTTGAGTAGAGCTTTGAAAATGGTTGAGTTTTCGATAAATTTTATTTGACATTATTTAAAACACGTGTATTTCCGCTGAAATATCGAAATCTATTTTTCGCTGAATTACATACATCTCTATACTGTGTATAATTACTCTGTATATACGTACCTATACGGGAAAGTAAAAAATAAAACCTTTATGTTATTAGGCATACTTTTCAGGTACGTCATGTGTGATGTGTTATCACAAAAATAATTAAATGGGAAAAATAATAAATTTACGTAATTATAAATATGGACGATAGCAATAATGGGAGTATAGAAAAGAAACAGGTGAGCTTTATTTTGGAAACAATTCAAGGAAAGGACAACAGAATTGATAGTGGGGAAAATACGTAAAATGTTAAAAAAATAATGCTATAAAAGGAAACGTGAGCAAATTCCATGGAGAAGAAAATAAATTAGAAGTTATCGCAAGAAGGAAACCAAAGAATAAACAGATACTATGTTAAATGTGTATGACCAATCATGAGTAAGACCGTATGAGATTAGACACAGATGAAGGGCGCGCGAGATGAAAAAACGAGACAGACGATGTTCTGACACGGTGTGAGACAGATGTAAAAGGAAAACCTATTTGGTTGCGGAAAGAATTAGACTGATTCGTGACTTTGCAAATGCGATGTTTTAAGGCAGTAAATGTACGATTAGAAAGGAAATATAAAATTACTTGTGTGGAGGATGCGAACATCATTGGACTAGACCGAATTCCTTGAAAATGGAGGCTGAATGGAAACTGGACAACGTTCAAGTTTGCCGGATATCCGAAAAGAAAGAAAAAAAGTGTGAAATGTGAAACAGCAAATTCAGAAGAAGAATTAAACAAAAAGGTACCGGGAACAGTCCCCAGTCAGACATGTAATATACAATTTTGTAAATTTGTGAGAACTAATTAGTATACCTAGTATTAACAGAAGAATATCTTTTTTCAAAAAATATTCCTACTTACGTGCAGAAAACTGTTATTCGCGGTAGGACCGACGATTTCTGAAACCGATCTAAAGAATACGATACTTCAATACCTTCGTTGGCAAATGCAGGGAAGTCGACTTTCCATCCGAAAAAGTATAATATGGTGTATGCACATCAGGACTCTAAATATTAATAACATACGCTACCTAAAAAAATACCGAGTTTTGATTAAAGCTCATTTTTGTACAAAGTTCTACACCTTAGTATTTGGTTGCGAAAGAAAAGTGCCTGAGTCGCGCAATGCGGTTATGTATTAAACAGAAAAAAAGTATTGTAATGGGCGAAACAACCTGGAAAATGTATATTCTCAGACCTGGAAAACAGAGGAAAGAAAAAAAGAAAAAAACAACAACAACAGATCGCTGGTCACCCTGGAATAGTTAAGAAAACAGAGCATATTTGCAAAACACGGAACAAAAGCTCCTTTTAAAAACTATAACTGCCATATAAATAAATAAATACATATCGAGTAAGAATCGGTCGGACCTTGCCTATATATATATATATATATATATATATATATATATATATATATATATATATATATATATATATATATAAAACACCCAGTAACTGCTAATGCCTCTGGACACGCTACATAACTGAAAGCCAATTTTGGGCTCGCAAAAATCATCAAAATCATATTCAAATAAAGCCTTATCTAAACCCTTTTTAAATCTCGGCTGATGATTCAAATTAATTCTCAATCATGAGTAACTTTACCACAAATTAGTATCCAGTGGCAGTCATAACGTGACGTAGTATACTTAAATGCACATCTCACTGGCACCAAAAAGGGCGTCGGCTAAAGAGGCGGTAGAACCGTACCCAGGGCAAGACTAATACCCCGCTCAGGCGGGATGGCACAGCAAGTGGTCTCTCCGCCGAAGCATGCATACCGTTGCATCTTTCACAACTCTATTGCTACTTCTACATCCCCGCCGTACACTCAATTGCGCGAAACAACATAGCCTTCCGGTGGCTCTCTGGGTGAACTACGTCATAAGGCGGCGAAATCAATCACTACAATTATTACCAATTAACAAAATACTTTACAATAAAATTTAATAGATACGGCGCTAAATTTAAAACCATGAATACATCTCAAGAAAACCACCAGAACTGAAAAATTGTACAAAAATACATAATTTGAATGGATGAAATCCAGAACGATCATTTATAAATTCTGAGAAATCTGTTTATTTAAGTCTAAGTCAATATTATTGTAAAGTCGCGGTTTGTTTCATCATCAAAATCACGGCATTTCACTTGTTCATTAAAACCAGGAAAACAAATGTCAACTAAAGTGTAACCTAAAATATACACGTTTTCTCATAACTTATAAAGTGTCACTTATACCGTTCTGGATTTCACCCATTCGTATATTAGAATGAACTCGAAGAAGGATGGTCCGCGTGTCCGAACAACCGCGTGGCATTTTATCTGTTCAAAATATTAATTTCTTGATTCGGACAAACCATAAGATTCTTTAAACATAATTTCAGAAAGAAAATAGCAATCCGGGAAATTAGAAAGGGACCTGTTCTTCTCATGGTTAATCAAATATATAAAAATATTTGTTCGTACTGTCGCTCCGTTCATCTGACTGCGATAAAACTTTGTGAACTTACCGCTTTCACTTGTGCGAAGAATATAGACAGAACAATAAGATTTTACCGTTGATTTTATGTGCTTTACGCCGACTTAACGCCCCTGAAACTACGCAACCCGCCGCACTCTCGAGTATTAAGCGCGTCTTCGCTGCATATTCTGCCCCTGCGATTGTGATATATTGGAAAGAGTTATTTCTTGAACGATATTTCGGACATGTATATCAAATTTCTTCGATTCATAGCGCATACGTGCTCAAACTTGAAGGAGAATCACTATGATACCCGAAAATACATCTTGACAATACATCTTTCATCATCATCATCATCATCTTCTTCTTCTTCTTTTTTTTTTGCTTGCAGAGAGTAGCTTAAAAACGTGATTAACAATCACATGACCAGTAACGTGTGAAGAGTAATACATTGCAATAGCGAACCATTGCTGGGACCTCTTGCAGGTTATTAAATCTATCTCTCCCAGCCGCGTCCAGTGCAACCATGCTTCATGCGGACTCAGCCCTAACGGCAGAACTGCTCTCTCCTCGTGTCATGCATCCATAAGTCAGGAGGCCGCGGCTGGGGCGGGAAGCGAGTTCGCCAGGCGGTCTCTTGAGCATTCTCAGCGCGGGCGCCTCAGCCTCCAAACACGCATCTGGTGTGCGCAAATGAAACGAACCTACTTAATGTAAGAAGAAAAAGTTATACAACTGTTCGAATGATTGATTTTGATGTCACCAGGAGAAGGGAAATAAACTCATTAGCCACAGAAAACAAATTTATTACAGCAAAAATCCAAACTCGTGCCAGGTCATCCAGGTTCAACAATTATAGGAGATGAACCGTTCACTTGCAAAGTTACAACATTCCACAAGATATACCTATTCGTAGCCGACTGCCCGATTCTCCGTCTCCAATGACTTGCACATCGTCTGGTACCGTTGCTCGGCGGCCTCATGCTGTTGAGCCATAGCCGCCTGCATTAGCTGCAATTGCTGCGTCGCTGCTGCATGTTGCTGCGTCGCTGCCGCTTGCATCTGCTGTTGCTGCGCAGTTGCCGCATGCATCTGTTGCAATTGTTTTGCCGCTGCCGCTTGCATCTGTTGCTGCGCCGCTGCCGCTTGCATCTGTTGCAATTGTTTCGCCGCTGCCACTTGTATCTGCTGATGTTGCTGCGCTGCTGCCGCTTGCATCTGCTGCAATTGTTTCGCCGCTGCCACTTGCATCTGCTGATGTTGCTGCGCCGCTGCCGCTTGAATCTGTTGCAATTGTTTCGCCGCAGCCACTTGCATTTGCTGTTGTTGCTGCGCCGCTGCCATTTGCATCTGTTGCAATTGCTGGGCCGCTGCCGCTTGTTGCTGCATCCTTGCCGCTTGCATCTGTTGCAATTGCTGGGCCGCTGCCGCTTGTTGCTGCGCCCCTGCCGCTTGCATGTGTTGCATTTGCTGCGTCTCTAAGGTCTGGTGCTGCTACCACAGCCCCACCACCTGGGCTAGGCTCCCGACCTTGCTGACATCCATTTCCGTTTTCCTCGTTGACATTGTGATGAGACTGGGAAAAGGGCAATCAACACATAGTCCAGCTTAAAAAGAGGAAATAGCGAAAATTTTGCTGTAATTTTGTGTAATGTGTAAAAGGAAAAAAAGCAACACATTTGCAATTTGCAAAAATGAATTTTCAACACATTTGCAATTTGCAAAAATGAATTTTCAACACATTTGCAATTTTGAAAATAACTAAAAGGCCATCCATTTTTAATGCATCTGTTCGAAATAGAAAATAAAATTACATACATTTAATACCATTAAGATTTTTTCACCAATTAATGGTGCCGCCATGAGAGCACCGCGAAATTTGGTGATACAATAAAAACACCGAAAAATAAGGAAATTATCTCAGTTTATCTCAATATATAATATATCTAATAACTATAATCTAATAACAATATAATAATCTAATCACAATATAATAACAATCTAATAACAATAATAAATCTAAAAAACTATAACCTTTTCGTAAAAATAAACTGATAAAAAATGAAAGAGGATAAAATTGCCTACATTTTGTGTGGTCAAATGTGTGTACATTCAATGAAGGTGTTTACAAATAAATACGGCCCCTTGGGAATCAGTTTACATTTTATTTGAAAACAGAATAGGTAATTAATTATATGAATAAGAAAATATTTTGGAAGACTATGAATTGGACCTTCACTGACGACCAGGTTTCGAGGGCCCTGATTTTCATAGACATCTGCTGCATACAAAATAATGGCATTCATATCTTAGCACTATAACTCGTATATTGTTTCTCATAATTGGTATTATGTATTATCTTGAAAATCCATGTCCTCTTCCATTGATTCGTCAGGTTTACTGGCTTCATCTTGTTCTTGTTCCAGCTCGTAACTCGCCTTTCAGTACATTTTCAGAAAAGACTGACATATAACCGCATTTTCCGCAGTTCAGACACAGGTTAGTGCATTAATTTCTGCTATCTTGCAATCACTTTTTTGCCAATTTTTGGAGCTCTTTCAAGAATTACATTTCAATGTCTTTTTTCGTACTTTTCTCTCTCCCCTTTCCTATTATTTTCTTAATCTAGTCGTTGCTGAACTTGATAATAAACTCTTAAAAAGTATCAATTTTAAGAGTTCAATTCTTAAAAAGCTTTCTAAGTGTCAGTTCATAAAAAAATGTTGCTGTGTTAAAGCTGCTGATGTAATGAAGCAATGTTTGCTTTGTGAGTGAAGGCATCTTTGGCAGACATATCTCAAGTGGCTGAGTAAAGGCTGGTTTTTTGCACTGAGTCGAATAGTGAAACTCGAAAAAGTTCACCAAAATCAGCAACCATTTCTTTAGTTGCCATGGAAAGTTCAAGTCATTTTATAGTCAGCAAAATTAGTAGTGTTTTTGGTCAGAAATTCATTTTTCTTTGCTTGAACAATGTCGAAGTTATGTAACAACTCATTGCTTGTGAGAAAACAAAGTTATCGGTAATTGTTTCACTTATAGCAGCAAACGATAAAGAAACTGCCTTTCTTTTTTTTCAAAAAAGGTAATACAGTTTTACATGCTTGCCAAAAGCTCGCAATATTACCAATAGAACTACTACATTCTCAACTCCTTCAGACTTAATTGTTGGATGTAAAGACTAAAGTTGTATTCATTTATCTAAATGTCTGCGTGTCCCTTCGCATGTTTGCACGTCATTCCTGCTGTTAAAACTTTGTAATCCACATTGCTATTAACCGTCTTTTATTATTTGCGTTAGCAAGGACATTTTATTTCGACGTCATATAAATCACTGTGTTGTCTTAACACTATGTATGCAAATTTTTTAGATATATTAATTCGCTTCGTTCTTCATGGTAGCCATAAAAACACCTAAATAGATCTGATTGTGATTGATACTTTAACAAATATTCAACATAATTGTTACGGACTGACTCTTGTGTCTTCTCTGAAATGAAAACCCGTCATTGATGACGTACTATTAAACTTAGACATTGCTTGTGTGTTATTTGAATGATCTGATGAGAGTGATCAGATTTGTCAACAGTGACTTCGGGTGCAAACACTTTTTTAAAGCAATAAAATATGTAAAAGCCAGGACTTTTTTTCAGATTTATCAAAATAAGGTCATCTAGTAAAAACACACTTATGATATTTATATGCCTATAAAAATCAGCGCCGTCGAAATTATGCGTAGGTGAAGGCACTATGGTCTTCGAACATATTTTTTCTCTTTCACGTTATTAATTATAGAACGATTTTCTTAAGACTGGGATAAAGTGACAGTTCGCGAAACAAGTGAACATCACGTGTAATTCAGAAAAGTAACCCTCCGCCGCTGCAGCTGTTTAGTTAAGCCCCTTCGCAGTGCTTGTTTTCGGCTTCCGCGAAGACGTCACTATACAGAAGTCTGAGTTTCACTTAGGCATATGCACGTACACAAGTCCCGGAAATATTGAAATTTATTTACATATGTGGAAAAATATCTTAACATGCTCTTACATTCAGTAAAAGGAAACTGCCACGAATGTTAATAAAAAGAAAATTGATTTTTCAGGGAACGTTCAAAAACCTTTTCTGGACGTATCACAGCAAATGGCTTATCCACTTTTGTGGTGAAGAGGGTGGTTTATAATTATAACACACCGACTATCAAAACTTGGTACTATACTCTCGTAACTCAAATGTCAAGCAAGATATCACGAAACGCTCCCAAATACAGGTCGCCAGTCGCCACACAGCGCACATGCCGGAAACACGTGCACCGTCACGAGTACGCATCTCACATTCGCATCTCATATCTCACACTCACAATTTTAAAACAAACATAATATTTATCACATAAAAACTAAATTCAATGTAATTTTTATTAAAACAATATTTTTTACAGAGGAGCACAAAGCGCTGCATTTCCTAATTTTACTTATTTCTCGTGGCGCACTATATTTTCGTCGGACGAGATCACAACAGGGAGCGTCGAAACTATTTACAAGTTAGCCAACTGCAAACAAACGAATAGAGGAAAGAGAGTCTAATAAGTTCAAGGACACAACGACCACAGAATCGTCAGTTGTGTTGCCAACACTAGCTGTCAAATCATCCCATTCTAAAAAAATCGCACAATACCTACTTACCTTGTTCCAATTTAAATGTACACAGATTCACAAGGCAGCGTATTTATTTGCATACAACTTCATTGGATGTAAAATAGTGTAGGAGTTGATTGAGAGATTTACGAGAAATGCCGTTTTTACAGTAACATTAAGGCATATTTGCACACTAATGGCGATAGCATTGATTTTAGAAGAATACCTTGTCCAAAATGTAAGAATATTATTCTCTTTAATTTCTTATCAGTTTAATATGTACATAAAATTGACAATTTTTTTGTTATATTGAGGTAAAGTGAGATAATTTTCATTGTCTTGTGTTTCGCTTAAATCACCAAATTAGGCTGTGCTCACACGGCTAAACTGTTAATTGGAGAAAAAAATCTTAATGCCCTTAAATATAGCTAATTTTATCTTTAATTTCGTATAGTACTATTAATTATGAAAATGGATGGCTTTCGAGTAATTTTGAAACGAAAAAGCTTTTTGCTTAAAATACGGGTTTCTGGGCAAACCTTTTGTTGGTAAATTAGATATTCGTCTTCAACGACCCAAAATACATGTAGGAACCACATATCAAAACTACACCAAAACATTCTCTACCACTTGACCATCAACCAACATTTTCTTCCATTTGATTGGACTATCAGCATTCACAGAAAAGAAGTTTATTGTAACAGAAATTTAAAATCGTGCCAGGTCTGTAACTTTCAAAAATTCCAGATGTCCCGTTTAAGAGTGCCGACTTCTGATCCCAGCCCGATTGCCAATTGGGACCGCCGCCTTCTGGTCCCTTGGTCCGGTCCGGTGTCGAGGGGTAACGCAGGCCTGTTCGCCAGTTCGACGACCTACATGTCTGCGACCCCTGAGCGATCGCGACTTGTTCGGACAGCCCTGCCAATCGAGACAATACCACACATGGATCTGACGGACGTATTTCTCAGGATCCCTTGGCCAGGAATACGTAGGATACCGTCTTCTGCCACACGTCTCACTCCACCGAGCGATTGAAACCATCCAACGCCTTCTGCCACACGTCTAGCTCCTCCGAGCATTTGAAACCTTCTGACGCCTTCTGCCACACTACGACTGTTTCAAATATTCGGGTTTCGCTTTTCCGCGTCTCTTTAACTTAACACCGTCTGCGACACGTCTTGCTCCTCCGAACTTATGAAACCTTGCAACACCTGCCATACGTCTCGCTCCTTCGAGCGCTTGAAACCTTCTAATGCCTTCTGCCATACGTCTTGCTTGTCCGAGCCTCTGAAACCTTTTAGCAACGTCTGCCACACGTTTAGCTATTCCCAGAGTCTAAAACCTAACGCCAGCTACCACACGTCTCGTTCCTAAGAGCATCTGAAACGTTCTAACATATTCTGCCACATGTCGCATTCTTCCGAGAGTCAGAAACTTTATAACGCCTTCTGTCACACAACTAGCTCCTTCGACAGTCTCAAACTTTCTAACCCCCGTCTGTCCCAGGTCTCACTCCTCCGAGCATACGAAACAACTGCCACCCGTCTCGCTCCTCCGAGGGTCTGAAATCTAAAGCCTTCTCCCACACGTCTCGCTCCTCCGAGCTTCTGGGACCTTGTATATATAAAGTTTATATAAAAATACAAAAATCCGAATTAAAATAAATTCACAACAATCACAACCATTAAAAACTAACCAAGGATTAAAACAAGGTTGCAGCCTTTCCCTAATATTATTTAACATCTATATAGACGATATTCTTAGAGAATGAAAATTAATAGTAAAACAAGGAATCAGATTGAACGGAAATAATTATATCAATACTCTGCTATTTTCTGATGACCAAGTTATTACGTATAACATGAAAATATCAAAACGAAAAAGAAAGGTCATGGCTTTTAAAGGAGTCTATCCAATTAGAACAAAGATATTCCTGGAAAACCAAAAATAA